GTAGCAAAAATATTTTTGGAGATATTTAAAATAAAGTTGGGTCAAACCAATGGTTTGTATTGTAGCACTTTTCCCTTCAATAAGTGAAAATTCTGCTTTTAAATACAGTCTATGTATACCTATCACACTATTAAAATTATTTTCATTCATACACAAAACTCTTTCTAGGATTGCATATATTTAGGATGAACGATTTATGCAGTCTTTGAAATAAAGCAAAAATTAATATAAAAAGGGGTTAACATAATGCTCGATTTTAAGGGTTAATTGTGTGAGTTAAGGAAAATAATTATATTTTTTAATGTCATGGAATTTACCGTTAGCTTTTTGCGTTTATAGAAATTTGAAAAAACGTACGATTTCGGAAATATAAGGTGTCAAAAATTCAAATTTTACAAATTTCAAGGGGCGATAACTTGAGAGGGGGTGGAGATGGAAAAAAATTTTCTTCTAACGAAATAAACTATTTTTTAATGTCTATAAGCCAATAAAATTTCAAGCTTCTACAGGCTGGGGTCTAGAAGAAAAATGACATCAAAAATTTGGAAAAAAAGGACTTTAGATAACGGTAAATTTGAACGGCCATTTTGTTTTTCTAAATTTTGACTATAGCATACCGCGCTAGGGGAAGCAAGCCACTGCCTTTCTGCGTTTGCAAAATTTCAAAAATGCTTATGGTTTCATTGCAACAAAAAGTTAAAAAAGGCCATTTTTAAGGTTTTGGGGGGTATAACTTCTAGAGGGGGGGAGATAGGTAAAAATTTTGTTCTACGGAAGTAAGTTTCTAGTAAAGATCTATGTACATATAAAATTTCAGCTTTCTATCTTCAAGGGTGTAGAAGTTTTGTAAACAAAAAAAGTGTCCACGGACGGACGGACGGACGGACGGACGGACGGACGGACGGACGGACAGAGTGAAACTAATAAGCACTTTTTTCAAAATTTTTTTTGGAAAAGTGCTAAAAATGTTTTGAAAAACTTTAAACGTGTTTTCTGGCTAAACTAGAAGAGATAGAGCGATTCTAAGTGTTTTCTTGGATCACTTGGAGTCTACAGATTCTGCCAATATATGATAATAGGCTGTAGCAATAATATTTTTGGAGATATTTAAAAAAATGTTTTGAAAAACTTTAAACGCAATTTCTGGCTACACTTTAAGAGATAGCGATTTTAAGTGTTTTTTGTGATCACTGGGAGTCAACAGATTCTGCCAATATATGATAATAGGCTGTAGCAAAAATATTTTTGGAGATATTTAGAAAAATGTTTTAAAAAACTTTAAACGCGTTTTCCGGCTAAACTAGAAGAGATAGAACGATTTTAAGTGTTTTTTGTGATCACTGGGAGTCTACAGATTCTGCCAATATATGATAATGGGCTGTAGCAAAAATACTTTTGGAGATATTTAAAAAATGTTTTGAAAAACTTTAAACGCGTTTTCTGGCTAAACTAGAAGAGATAGAGCGATTTTAAGTGTTTTTTGTGATCACTGGGGGTCTACAGATTCTGCCAATATATGATAATAGGCTGTAGCAAAAATATTTTTGGATATAGATATATAATAAATACTAATCCATTAAAATTATTATCATTGATTTGGCGCCAGGTAAATTATTTCGATATCGCTGAATTTCAAATGCACTAGAAAATATTTTATTCATAGTTTTTCAGGTGATTGAGTACTCTATATTCGTGCTGAGAAATTAGAGAAGGAGAATATTAATTTTTCGAGAGATATTTAAAAAAGGTAAGTCATGTACATGTAAAAAACTAAAACATAGTTAAATAATTAATAGAAATTATTTCATTATCACTTCAACTCATTTGAAATTATTAACACTGACCACTGATCTAAAATAAATGAAGTGAAACAATAAAAACACCGAATACACTATATTGACCAGAGATAACTAAAAATGGTATCAGATATTTCGCCGAGACAATAGGAATTAATAGATTTCCAGACTCAATTAGGAAAAGCATGCTATAGTGTTTTTTACTATAAATATATGGAAAATTGGTAACCTTTTTACAGTGAATATTTTTTGAGCAAAGTGTGATATTATCATACAGATTTAAAAGATTTTAAGTCGTTGAACAAGTACAACGATGAGTCTGTTTTCATTCACTTTACTAGAAATACTGATCACAAACATTTTAAACCTTAAAGAGTTATCAGGTTTTTCAATTATTATTTAGACGAATATTAGCGGTTCACCTAAACACACCCTTAAAAATCATAAGCAAATATTTAACTGGTTTGGTCGAAGTATGCGTATGACTTCGCCAATATTAGCTGAAAAATTAAAACTTAAAACCTGCCTAACTATATATTTAAATATACGTGCAGAGCAAAAGTATAAATGTATTTTGAGTGTAATTTAAAAAATTTAAATTTTTTTAATCTTTTAATAAAAAAAATAAGCAAAAACCGAAAATAATTTTTGACAGGTACGCTTACATAATTTTCAATAATCTTAATGTCTAATCATTTATGAGTAGGTGTCATTTTGAAATTTAACAATATTATTGCATTGAATTCAACTATTATTAAAAAATTGAGCATAGGTAAGCAGGTATATAAAACATTAACTTAAACCAGTTTTTATTTAAAGAAAATTTGGATTTTATTTAAAATCCAGTTTAAAGATTTTTAATTTAAGGTTGCTTAAATGTATACATGTGAATTTAAAATATGTAAGTATTTTTTGTAATTTAATTTTATTAAAATTTTATAATAATGTTGTGCATGGAACATGTGAAAACTTTAATTAATAAAGGGTTAACTTCAAAGTGTTATACGAAAATTCCCTCTTAAGGAAGTTGATAACTGAATTGCTTATAATTTCAATTCTTAACCAACTTTTATTAAAACAATAAAAAAAAATATTTATAAAATTTGTAAATTATAGCAATTGTTTACAATATTATCCTACCGGTGATTGTCAGAACTATTTATATAATTTTATTTAAATTGAAATATAACCTTTACTGGATCATAAGCTGTAAATGAACGGTATAAAAGTGAAAATTTATAAAGAAAAATGGAAGGAATTTTGTAATTTAGCATATTTTTTCTTGAAAATATTTAATTTTCGGAATATATCGCGCATTACACAATAATTATAATACTAGAACACCATTTTAAACGCACAAGATTAAAAAAATGCAAGAAATAAAAGTTTTTTTTTTAAATTTTCATTAAAATTTCTCTGAAGTCCACAACCGGTATTGGTATTACTACATATAAGTAAAAATAAGTTAATAAATCATATACACTTACACACCCGTATATGTAAGAGAAGAGGTGTGTATTCTAACGCCTTCAGTTTAATAGAAAAGAAAATAATATGAATTTTTTCTCCGAAATCAAGTTTTAAAATTTTTAAATTAATATTTTTTTTTATTTACAACTATTCGTAACCAGTTTATTTTAGTAAATGATATTTCAAAAAAAAAAACTAAATAGGAAAAGTTGAATATTTTATTAATGTGGGCATCAATATGCAATTACATGAGCAAATTTTAATGCAAAGGTGGCAAAAATATTTATTTAAGAAATATATTGAAATTTATAAGTAATTTACTTAGTGTCTTATTAGGAAAAATTTATTAAATTTTGAATACCTACATTGAATTTTTTGTTATTCAAAATCTTCTATCGAATCCTTTAGTTAAGTTTTAAATTAGAAAGAAAATAAGAATTGTATATTAGGTGTTATAGTTATTCAAAAACGACGCCCTTTTTAAAATTTAAATGTTAATTATTCAAGGATATTGAAAATTTCTACTAGTACTTATATATAGGATAGCCAATACAATAAGCAAACTGCAAAAACTACTCCATGTATGCAGACATATATAAAATAACAGTCCTATATAATTAGTATTGAAAATTTAAATATTGCAAGGACGCTGAAAATTATAATACAATTGAAAATTTATGTATACAACTATCGTTTACAATTTGAAGAATAAAAAATCTATTATACACTGTGATTGCTTATATGTTGTTGCTAGTTACATTTTCATAAGTAGATACGACAGAAACAAGGATTTTAAATACTTATACTCGTAAAAAAAACTTCAAATTTATTGTTTTCGTTTCTATTTAATAAAAGTTGTAAATTATAGCAAAATTGACAGTTTGTTTTAAGTGTATAATATTAAATTGCTTCAAATAATCACAGTTTTACGTATACGTCTGCATAAATGAAGACCAAATGGCCTGTTTTATTAAGTTTCTTTGATAATTCTACAAATGTGATTGCCATAAATTAAGGCAACAACTAATTTATTAAGTGTAGTTCATCAAATATATTTAAAAGAAGTGTTGTACTTAGAAAATATAATATTCATTGGTCTCTTTTTTCAATTAAGTATAATTTTTGTTATATGCTACATGTTACACATTCTTATCCGGTCATAACCGTTATACGAGCATATTAAGTTTTTATATGTAAATAATCATCAAGAATAACAGATTTTTAAATATTTGACAAATAAAATTTTATTATCTCATATAATAACAATTATTGAATACACGCCTTCATTTGAGATTAATTACACTTTATTCATTTTAATCATAAATGAACTTTCCCACACATTAACACACAATCACAATATAGAATTTTATAATAATTAAACCGGTAAGTATTGCTTAAATTATTTGAATAATTTACTTAAAATGTTGCTATATTTGAAGAGATAGAGAAAGAAAGAGTGCCCATTACCCATATATTGAGAAAAATTAACTGAAAATGAAGATCTGTCATAGTTCAACCGTACATATACATATATGTATTCAAACATTAACTTTATTAAAATCTATAAATAAATAATTGTAGAACTAAGTGCACAACACTAAAATTAGTGCTCGGAGTGGTGTTCAAAATTCAATCTAATAACATTGCCACATACTCTACATTATTAAAGAAACAAAACCCACAATTAAACCATTTTAAAAAAAATTAGAAATAGAATTTTGTACTCGTACTTACCACAAAATTTCAATTGAAAATATCCTTTAATTCTTAGTTTTAAAAATTTAGTGGGAATATTAATTTTAGTAATTTGGAAGATGATTTAAATTTCTTTTTACTTTTATAATACTCTTAATGTACTCACATACAAAAAAAATTTTTCTTAAATTTAATTTAAATTTAATTTTTTTTTCTCTTTCTCTTTTTTTTTTTTTAGAAAACTTTGATTACAACTCAAAGTCCACCTTTTGTAATATTTATTTTCGCACTTAAATATTCTTCTTATATTGCAATTATTATTTTTTTATTTTTAGTGTTTTTAATATTTAATAACTAATTCGTTATTTAAAATTAATTAGAATTGGATTATAAAGGGGGCAGATTTTAAAACGAGTGAAGAAAAAATTATTTTTAACACAAAAAATAACAGAATAAGTAACAGAAACAAAAAACACAAAATTAGAAATTACTGTAAGAGAAAAAAGAAAACCGTTATTAATTTTTAATAAGAATTTTTCATTTCTTAATATTTAAATTAGAAAAATAAGTAATTATTGTTAAATTTTTTGAATCTGAATTATTTTAGAATGTGTTCACTTAATATTTGAGCGTATAAGATTATAATCAAAATTATTTTATGAAAAATTTTAATATTATTCCAGAGTATAACGGTAACAAAAATAAATTAATAAACAAACAAACAATAATTTTATTAAAGAATTTTATTAAACAACAGTTAGAAAATTTTAATTTTACTTTTTTCAATAGGGTATGTACTTTATAGAATTGTTAAAACTGAAAACAAAAAAAAAATTATTTCGCTTTAAAAAAAATTAATCGCGTGTAATTCAGAAAACAAAAACACGTCTGATCTGATTAACGTTAAAAATTCAACTGAAAATAATAAAATTTCAATTCAAAGCATAAATGGTAAAATAAAATTTTTTTTTTCTAATTTCTCTACGTTTATACACAACACATATGTTTTTATTGTTGTTATTGTTTTTGTAGGTTACTTTACTAATACGTGAGTAAAAAAGTTGCCAACAATAAAATAATATTATTTCTCATTTTATAAAACATTTTAAGCTAAGAATTAAAAATTTTGTTATAAGAAAAACGTAGAAAAACAATGAAAGCTATACTGAAAATTTTATGAAAAACTCAAAAAGCTTTCGGTTCATATAAAAATCGGCTCGGCGGCTAACTATGATAAATAAAGAATTCAAACTGTATGTTTTATAATAAGTCGACTGTTTTCACTCACGGCTTTCAAAGGTCTTATTTTTCTTATATACCAGATATATTGGTATAGTTTAAATGACGTATTGTATTAATTGTATTATAGTTATACTTAGTATTGTATATTATTTTTCAAAGTTAAATTACTTACACATCGAATATCGAATAAACTTAATTAATAAAATCAAGTCGAAGGAAAAATTTAATTTATATAACAATAAAAAGCTCTTTTCATATCCAATTTAAGTCGCCTCCACAATTTTTTTTCTTGTTTTGTTTTTTTTTCATTTTTTCTCAATAGGTGGATTCACAATAATGTTACTTGTATAATAGCTAATATTTTTGGTACCGTGACTAATATTTTTTTTTAAAAAAAAATTTTAAGTGTTTCCGATTAACTAAAAATAAGACGGTTTGGTAAATTTAAAAGGATTAGCATAACTTATATTCTAGAATTTACGTTAGCAAATCAATTTTAATATAAGAATACTTGTATATGTTGATGTACGCAAAATATACAAGTTGATTTATTGAAAAACCTTTAATTTCCACCCACAAAAATTTAATTTATGTAGTAAAAATACTGTAAATTGGAATTAAACGGAAATTTTTTTTTAATTTCATGCATGAATATTTATTCAAAATTGTAATTTTCTTTTTTTCTTAAAACATAACGTTAACAATATAATCATTTATAATTAACCGTATACACACACACATCTATACTTCAATTTCTTATGTTAACAATATACATGCACATAGTTTATTTTTTGCTGTAATTTTAATTATGCAATGACGTCATTATTTACATATGGTTCACAAATACATTCGTATAATTCTGCAATAGTTGATTGTAAATTAAGAAAGTAAGGTAGATCATATGTTTATTTTTTACTATTTTTACACACTTTTGTTTTTTAGTTTTAAATTTTTATTATAATTTGAAAAAAATTTTATTTGCTTAATTTATGTGTACACATAATGTTGTTTACATACTATATATTCAAATTGCAATGATTTTGAATTGTATTGCGTGATTAAGATTGTATTACAAGAAAAGTAACAATTAAAATCATTGTAAAAATTGCCGACGATTTATTGGTTTTACTTTAATTAATGCATGTATACATGTTTGTTGTTCATATATTGTAAATTGTAATAGATTAATATGAAATTATTATTCTAGAATATTTGATTTATACACACAATTATTTTGTAAATATATGGAAATTATCGATCTATTGTTATGAATACTGTTTAACATTTTACATAAGAAAAAAAAATTTTCGGATCTCCATAAAAATTTTATGAAATGTCTTATAATTTGACATTTGTTCCTTCTTTTTGGAAAAGGTGAAGATTTTAGAAAAGGGTTGCTTCTATTTTTATGTGAACATATTACTTTGTGATTACCGCAGATTGGTAAATCACTTCCTCTTCACAGTGCTGTTTTTTTCAATATTAAGTAACAACACTACTTCAGTAAGAAAAGCCTGAATTTTCGGTCTCGTCAACTAAATTCATTAAATGAATATTGAATTTCAATATAATCAACGGTTATCCGAACTTTGCTTTGGACTTTGATACAAAGAAATATTATTTAAAACTATTTTTATTTATTATAAGACAAGACTAAATTTTACTTTTTTTCGTAGTAAATTTCTTAGTGTATACGTAGATTTGTATAGCCTTTGTATACGAGTTCTACAAAAATATACCTACGCTTGAAATAGTAACCCAATTAAATGTTATACCCGTCATATACATATACAATTAAACAATAATTTTATGTAAATTTACAGTTTTATAAATTATAATTTTAAAATTTAAATGCTTTGTATAATTGCGTGTTTAAAAAGTTTTCTTTTTTCCTAGTAAAATTAATTATAAAAAAAGGTAAAGAATGAACGTGTATAAATAGAACACACATATGTAACAAATACAAAAATTCTCTCCCTCTATCAAATTATGAAATATGAAAGTCAATTATAATTATGTAGTTTTCAAGTACTTTCTTGACAGTAATAAATGACATTATCTGCAATAGTGTTTTACAAAATAATGAACTATATGTGTTGCTTTATTGAATGTGTGTAATGAAAGTAAAAATACTGTATATAGAGGGTAAGAAAATAATTTCAAGATAAATAACAAAAGTCAAGGTGAAGCAAAAGTCTTTAAAATTTGAAAGCTGAAGCTTAGTTGAATAACACACATTGGTGTGTAGATATCGTGATATATTAGATTCTAGATATCATAATATATCGTGTTATTGCATACTTCTGGGCAGAATAAAAATGGAAGAAGAAAATTAATGGTTGAATTATACAACTGATTAGAGCCTTTAGAATATATAACTAAGCTTTTGTTTAAGAAATCATATGGCCCTAGTTCACTTTTCAAGTTATTCAAGTAATAAGTAAATTTTTGTCCATCTCTTACGACCAAAGGATCGTCCAGACGTGTAGGGATTATCATTGATAAGTGCGTGCGGTCAACTTGGAAATAGCGATCACATCCGTCAGCCTCTAGTTGCAAATTTAGTATCCTCCGGAATAATAAAAAGTTTCTCAGAAGGTTGTGTAAGCTCAGCGTTTCGAACTACATCACACTGTCTTGTGTGTCAAGGTAGAATGAACCTGCAAAAAACCCTATTAATCGATACTTACATAATCTTATATGATTTTATGTGATGAATACTGATTTAATATAATCTCTTATATTAGATGGAATAAAGTGAAAATTAGTTGAATACACAATTATACAAAAATATTATATTTCATTTAAAATATTATTAACATCATTGATTAACCACAAAAACTTTTTATAATTAATAAAAGTTATATTAGGTTAATAATTATATATTTGTTATACATTCGTGCATTTATTTTATATATGAAAAATAATAGGGTTATAATTTAATGTGTGGTTATTTTCAGTTCATTTTGAAAAAAAAAACCTTGATAAATGATAGAGAACTATGTAGGTATATTAGACTTTGATGAACATAGCGTGTATGTATGTATGTAAGAAAATATTATGGTTTAAAATTTGTACATAGTTTAACAGCAACAATAGCAACACTAGTTCTCCCAATGACGTTAACTGATTCATTTAACAAATCTTATAATTTACCTATAAGAGAATGAGAGTGTTATATTCCTAAAATACTACTCTAAAGAATTTTGTAATATAATAATTACATAATCGTTTCTAAAATATTGATATGAGGGCTTTTTAATTATTGTAATTTATTTAAATATGTTTTAGTCATTTTAAAAAATATATTTTTTTTTAAATTCTCGGCTTATCAGGGATGACACAATTTTTAATTTAATTTAATTTAAATTTCTTCATCGCATGCACTATGTAACAGCTATACTATATGTATGTATACACATTACTCTCTTATTTTCTCTTACTACACACTTATACTATTAATAATGTTGAGATAAAAATTTATTTTAAAAACTTACTTAACAGTACTTTTATCAACATTGTTTATGGCAATGGCATTCTTGAATTTTGTTTTTTGCTATTTTGGTTTTTTTTTTTCAAAACAAAAATACAATTATCAATTGTTTTAATACAAAAATTTTTTATACAATAAGGAAATAATAAATTTTTATTTTAATTAAATCTTGACAAATATTAAATAATACAATTGAAAGAAATTTTTAATAAGTACAATAATATGAAAAATTTTTCATTTGGAAATTTCTAATTTAAAAAAAAATCAATTCGAACTTTAATGCTGAAAGAGCCACGATTCTTCAAAAAATTGTTACTAGGGACTGTATGAATACATGTGTCAACTGTCACATAACTCATTTAAAATGTTCGTACAAAAATGACGGCGTTGTCAAGCAACAAACACTTGAATTAAGTTCGGTTAATATTAATCTTATATAAAATTTGAATGCCCAAAACTTTATTGTAGTTCATGCTGTTCAAATTCAACTCTTCACTCAATTACCTCCGAAAGTAATCGAATTGTGACTTACGTTTGTACACAGATTATTCCACCGATATTCACTTATTTTGTTCTCACCTGGTTTGAGGCACAGAATGAAAATTTTAAAATCTGTGATTTTATAAAATACAGAAATCTATAATATTTTTTTTTTTTTAAATTTCTAAATTTGAACTAGACGTTCGAAAATTTTAATTTTCGACTTAAGCGCATTTTTCTTGAAACCACAGAATTAAAGACGATAATTTTGTTGCATAATAATCTTATTATTATACTAAAATATTGAAATTTTCAAAATTTAAATTTAAATGAAAATTTCTAGAAGGGAAGATTCCAAATATTCTGAACTGAAAAAAAAATACAGTATGTTTATAGACTTATTCAATTTTCTAAATTTCTAGTTTTAGAATAGTCCGTGTACAATTTTATATAAAGATGTTATTCAATTTTAAAATAATAAAAAATAATAAAAAATTAACACCTTAAAATTAATTTGTTTAGAGTTATGTAAACTGATAATAATCTTGTGAATTAAAAGATTGTCAAAATATGGAAAAATTAACAAATAAAAAACTAAAATTGAAAAAAAAAATATAAATTAATTAATACCTTTAAAGGTAAT